CAGAATATTTATAGTATCCAGAAAGCAAACTAAAGTTACTCAACATTCAAAGAACCAGTAAAATATGACCTATTCTACAGGGAAAAGACAAAACAAAGCAACAAAAAAAACACCATAAAATGATCTAGGTGATAGCGCTATCAAAGATATTTAATCAGCTATTATAATTATGCTTCATAAGCAAAGGAAAACACTCTTGAAATGAATGAAAACATAGGCATTCTCAATAGAGAAAATTAAACTTTAAAAAAGAAATAAAATATTTGGGAATGAATAATACAATACTTAAAATGAAGAACCTTGCTGGGTGGATTCAAAAGCACTATGGAAATAATGCAAGAAAAAAATCAGGAACTTGGATATAGATTATTAGAAATTAACCAATATGAAAACAGAGTGGAAAAAAAAAGAGCAAGACAGACAAAGAGAGCTTCAGAGACCTATGGAACAATTTCCAAAGATCTAACATGTGTAATTGAAATACTAAAAGGAGAAGAGCGAGATATTGAGAAATTTTATTTTTTAATAAAATTTATATATATTTAAGGTGTACAACAGGATGATCTGCTATACATTTATATTCAGCAAGACAGACCATACTGTGGTCCATTAACAAAGTCTCATTATTAAAAGCAATCAAAATCATACAGAGTACATTATCTGAGCATAATGAAATTAAATTAAAAAATAATAGCACCTAGTAAAACACCAAACATGTATATATAAATTAAATAACACACACAGAAAACAGAAAGGTGACTATATATGTAAAGCTAAATTATCAAATATTTTTCCTAAAAGAAAACCCCAGGCAAAATATTTTTACTGATGAATTCTGGCAAAAACTTTCAGGAAGAAATAACACTTATTTTACATACGTATTTTCAGAAAATAAAGAAGTTGGGATCACTGCCCAGCTTTGTTTTTGTTAAGGCCAGCGAAACACTAATATTAAAATCTAATAAAGATATTGTAAAAATATATTTCAATATCCTTTATATAGATGTGAAGATTCTTAAAAATATTATCAAATGTTACCTAATTGTGTGTGTATGTGTATGACATTACAACCAAGGAAGGCTTTTCCTAGGAATGCAAGATTGTTTTAACACGCAGGAATCAATGCCATTCAGCATATTAACAGAATAAAGGAGAAAAAAACATTTAATCATTTCAAAAACAGTGAAAAACTTTTTAAAATTCATCACCGTGCAGGGTTTTAAAGACAAACAAACAAACAAACAAAAAACCTCTTAGCAAATTAGGAAGAGTAGGAAACTTTTTTAAACTGATAAAGGGCATCTAGGAAAAACCAACAACCAATATCACACTTAAGAGTGAAAAACTTAATTATTCCTAACAGATAAAGAACAAGGCAAGAATCCCTGCTTCCAATACTCTTATTCAACATTTTACTGCAAAACTGAGTAACTGCATTAAGGCAAGAAAAGAAATAAATGAATAACAGTAAAAAAGTAGTAAAATTGACAATATTTGCATTATATGATTGTTTACCTAAAAATATCAAGAAACCCATAAAAACCTACACAGACTAATATATGATATATTAGTGGCAAAAAATGTGAAAATAATATTTTTCTTTTCTTTTACACTAGTGGGAAAAGAGAACACCTAAACATAAATCTTAGCAAAGATATCCAATATCTTTGTATTAAAAACTGTAGATTAAAACCATAATGAGGTATCACCTCACACCCGTCAGAATCGCTACCATCAACAAATCAACAAACGAAAAGTGCTAGCAAGGATGTGGAGGAAGGGGAACCCTAGTACACTGCTGGTGGGAATGCAGACTTGTGCAGCCACTATGTGAAACAGTATGGAGTTTCCTCAAAAAATTAAAAATGGAGCTGCCATTTGACCCAGTGATCCCACTTCTAGGAATATATTCTAAGAAAACTGAGACACCAATCAGAAAGAATATATGCACCCCTATGTTCATAGCAGCGCAATTTACAATAGCTAAGATCTGGAAACAGCCCAAGTGCCCATCAGTAGATGAGTGGATAAAAAGGCTGTGGTACATTTACACCATGGGATACTACGCAGCTGTAAAGAAGAAGGATCTCGTACCCTTTGGGACAGTATGCAGGGACCTGGAGAGTATTATGCTAAGTGAAATAAGCCAGTCAGAGAAAGACAGGTATTACATGATCTAATATGTGGAATCTAATGAACAAAATAAACTGATGAACAAAATAGATCCAGAGACAAAGACACAAGGAACAGACTGACAAATCTGAGAGGAAAGGTGGAGTGGTGGGGGGATGGGAAGAGATTAACCAAAGAATTTATATGCATATATGCATAACCCATGGTTATAGACAATAGTGCAATGGAGGCCTGGGAGTGGAGTGGGGGTGGGGGTCAATGGGGAAAAAAGGGGACTGTAATACTTTCAATAATAAAGATAAATTAAAAATAAATACCTAAGTAAGTAAAATAAACTACAGAATACTGCTCTATCACAGAATAGATAAATAAATGAAGAGATGCACCATGTCCATGGATGGCAATGCTACCCAAACTGATCTACAGATTCAATGTGATTCCAAACAGAATCTACCAGGCTTTTAAATATTTTTGGCAATAATTGATAGCATAATTCTAGAATTAATTTGGAAATACAAAAGATCTAAACTGTTAAAAGTTGAACAATTCCCCTCACCTCATTTCAAGATTTACTATAGGGTGCGGCAAAAGTAGGTTTACAGTTGTGAGTATGCAAAACACAAAGCTTATTTTTGTATTATTATTTATCAATTATTGTAGTGTTCTCTATATGAACAACTATAAACCTACTTTTGTCCCAACCTTTACATAGCTACAGTAATCAAGAATATGGGTTATTGGTTGCCCTGCCTGGTGTGGCTGAGTAGTTAGAATGTCGGCCTGAGCTCCAAAGAGTCTTGGTTGATTCCAGGTCAAGGGCAGGTGCCTGGGTTGCAGGTTCGATTCCCAGCCCTGTTGGGGCACATGCCGGGAGGCAACCAATCAATAAAGTATTTTCAGGTGAAGATAAAAAAAAAAATGTGGGCTATTGGCAAAAATATGGAGATATCAATCTATGGAAGAAAATAGTGTGTGCAGAAATAGACCCATAGACATATGGTCAATTGAATTTTTTATTTAAATTTTATTTTATTTTATTTTTTCCATCACCATTGAGTAGATTGGTTTTTAACAACTGTGTCAAGGAAATTCAATGGGGAAATGAAAGTCATTTCAACAAATGAAACTGGGTCAACTAGAAATCAAACTGGGGGGGATGATCCTTACCTCGCACTCATGGCACAATATTGGCTCAAAATGGATCCTACACCTAAATGTACAACAAAAACTTCTCAAAGGAAACATATGAGAAAATATCTATAATCTTATGGTAGGCAAAGTTTTTGTAGATACAACATACACCAAAAAAAACCCACAAAACAAAGCTAAAACTGATAAATCAGACTTCATCAAAATTTAAAACTTTTGTTCTTGGAAAGACACTACGAAAAAAGGGGAAAGTCACGCCATTAGTATTCAGGAAGAAAATATTCTCAACATAAATATCAGATGAATGACTTGTATTTAAAATATAAGAACAACTCTTGTAATTCAGTAATAAGAAACAACCTGTTTTTTAAAAGTGGACAAAATATTTGGACATAAACTTCACAAAAGAAGATATATGTAAATGGCCAAAAGCACAGGGAAAGATGCAAGCATCATCAGTCCTTGGAGGAAAGCAAATTCACTACTACTACAGGTCGAATACTACAGGGCAAAGGGGGTAAATAACGAAAACCAAAATTCTTATACACAGCAACATAGACAAGTTTGGAGGAGGCTGGGAGATAGGCAAAATAGGTGAAGATTAAGAGGTACAAGTTCCACTTATAAGTCACAGGAATGTCATCGACAGCACAGGGAATACAGTCAGTAATATTATAATAAGTTTGTATGGGGGCAGATAATAACTAGACTTATCATGATGATCATTTCATAATATAAATGTCAAGTAACTATGTTGTATACCTGATATATATAATGTATATGATATGACTTAATATAATAGTGTATGTCAACTATAGGTCAATTTAAAAAAACACATTAAGAAGGCAGGCCAAAAACAAGTATATACTTAAATTATATTTATATAAAATTCCAGAAGATAGAAACTAATTACAGTG